TCTTTTGATTTATGCAGATATAATATTAAAATTATTAATTAAATAAATTTATTATCTAATTAGTTTATAACTGATTAGATTTTTTGTCATTTAAATTAAAATGATATTTTTTAAAAAAATCTATCTAATTATACATCTTTTGATAATATAACATCTTTATATTTTGTTAACAAAATATTTAAAGAGCTTATTGAAAGATAATATTTTATAAAAAATTTTTGAACATAACTCAGAGAAAAATAAAAATTATATAATTAAAAATATTATAAAAATATTAAAAAATGAATATGTACAATAAGCAATGACAAAAATTAAAAATTTTAAAAATTAATAAAAATGCAAATATAAAAGAAATAAATATGTATATAGAAAATTAGCTTTACAATAGCATCTTAATAAAAATTAAAATAATATAAAAACAACTTAAAAATTTAAAAAAATAAATAAAGTACATAAAATTTTAATAGAACATATAAAAGAAAAAGAAAAAAAACAAAGAAAAAAATATAAAGAAAGAACATAAAGCAAAGCTTAAAAAACAATAAACAAAAAAAAACAAAAAAAAAAGAAAATATAATAAAAAAAAGACAAAAAAATTAAAAAAATAAGTAAAAAAAAGAATAAAGAAAGAAAAAATAATAAAATACTATTGTAATAAAGAAGCTAAAAAATATTAAGCTAAAAATAATAATAATTTAAATAAAATATTTTATACTTGTATTAAATATAAATTTTTTGTCTAGAAAAATAAATATTAAATTATAATTAAGTGTAAATATGATTTATTTGCTATTAAATGTTAAGTTAAACAAAGTAACAAAAATTGTAATAAATTTTTTTATAGTTGTATTAAACAAAAAAACAACTATATTTTTTTAAATGATATAATTAATAAAAATTTATACATTAGATAATTAATATTAAAAATTTTTTTAATCTGATTCTGAGAAATTAAAACTGTATAAATTTAACAAAAATTTTATAATTAAAAGTTTAAAAATGAATTCATTAAAAGAAGAAACTAATAAGTTACTTTGGAAGAAAATATTTAATTCATTTGAAGTATTATCAATATAGATCAAATTACCTATTATTAAATCTTAAAAAAAAATCAAACAGTTAATGTCTAATTGTAATTAATGCAACATTGTTTAATAAAGTATTAACTCAAATTCCAGATATATTTTTAACTGATCATGAAAATTTTAATATAATTAAAAATTATATTTAATGTTCTTTAAAAATAGAAATATATATTATATTATAACTAGAATTAAAAAGAAAAATATTCAATTTTATTAATTAGTTTGTCCAAAATACAAGATAATTTATTATATCAATAAAATTAAAACAGATAATTATAAATGTAATTTATAAGAAACAACTAGAAAAGAAAATGCATTAAATTGTAAATTATATAAACATAATAATAGTAAATATAATAGAATTTTATTTAATAAACATTAAACACAGAGATTTTGATAAAAAGAAAATAATAAAAAAAAAGTAAAATATTATCTTATTACTAAAAAAAATCCAATAAATAAGCAAAACAATTAGCTATAAATTTTAAACTAAAACATAATCAAAAATCAAAAAACAAGAATAGTTATAAAATATAATTATTAATTTATATTTATAAATATTTATTTATTTTAAAAAATAATACAACTAAATTTATATTTAATATTTTACTAAAATTTATTTATATTTAAAAATTATTTTCTATATTTACTACTTTTATTATCTTTTGAATTAAAAGATTTCTCATTATCTGAATTAAAAGATTCTTTATAATTTTGTTCATTTTCTATATCTTATTTATACAGTCGTGCTCTCATATAATAACCTCCTATATAATCACAAACTCTATATAATCGCATAATTTTATACAGAGATTTTTTTTAATAATAAAAATACTTCTATATAGTCATGATCATAATACTATCACTATCACACTTTTTTAAAAAGTTTTTTACTCTAATTTATAAGAAAAATACTTCTTTATAATCATGATTGTTTTATTGGTTGAAAATATATAATTGTAATTAGCTAATAAAAATCATACAAGTAAATCTAAATATAAATAAAGTAGTGAAATAATAGTAAAACTTTCTTATATTGAGTAAATTTGATATAAACTAGGTTTTGGCTTCAACTTTCTTATATTGAATATTAATTAGTTTTTCTTATATTAAATTTTAATTAGTTTCTTATATCAAATTTTAATTAATCTTTCTTATATAGAATTTTAATTAGTCTTATATCGAATTTTAATTAGTTTTTCTATATATTGAATTTTAATTAGTCTTTTTTATATTAAATTTTAGTTTTAATTAGTCTTTATTATATTGGGAATTATTTGTAATTGCTTCTTGTTGTATATGATTAGGCTATATATGCTAAAAAAAAATAGATACCATAGAATCATCCTAATGATATTATAGCTTAGGCCGTAACTAGCTAATTTTATATCTTAATTAGTTATAACCATAATTGGAACAATTCTGCATATGGCATACATTAGTACATACTGTAAGTTGTAGCAATTATTAGCTAATTTTGAGCAATATTTGTAAAGAATTGGCATTTTTATTCAATAAGTAAAGTTATTATATGAATATCAGTTAAAAATATCAGTTTTTACAAATCTTGCTCAAGGTTGACTGATAATTACTGTGGGACTGATTACTATCTCTAACAATAAGGCTGTGTAACTTAAATAGAGAACAGTAATTAATACAATAACAGAGTCTATTGTCTGCATATTAGTAATATCATAATGCATGTATGAAATAAATAAAAAAGATATTCGATCAGTAAGAATGAACTCATATTGATTTTTCTTGTCACAAACCTGTTCTTACAAGTAACATAGTCTATTTGAGGTGCATGAAAATGTAGAGAGACGAAAGTTTGAGTAAGAGAGGCAAGGTATAAGTGAAGAAGACGAAGTCAGAAGTATTTTGTGCATATGTAATCATATAAATCTCTGAACGATGTTACTTTGAATTATGAACTATGCCAACAGATATTTCAAATTAAAAGTACAGTAATTCTTAATCTGTAATTATTAAAAAATATGATAGAAAAGCAGTAGTTGATAAAGTTAATCAAATAGCTAAAAAGGCAATTGAATTACATTAGAAGTCGCTATAAGATTAGCTTGTAGACTACTTCATATGTTAAAGCATGTTAATTGTGAAGAAATAATGGAATTACATACCTATTATTTTGGGTTGTGAAATTTTTTTTTTCAAGCATAAGAACTTGATTTTGTTATATCTAACACTTTTCTGTTCTAGCATATTCTAATACTTGATTATGCATTGGCATTGTTGCCTATATTTGTTTTTAATCTTCTTACACTGTATATCTTTTGACTACTGTTTAATTTTCTTATGCTAGTGGTAAAGTCATCATTTCTTTGAGATTATTTATTTGTTATGCTATTATTTTGTATTAAAAGCTTTTGTTAATTATAGCATTTTACAGTTTTATTGATTAAATTTCTATTTATAACAGTCAAGTTTACCTTGGAACAGATTTTATCATAAGCACTCACTGTGAGTTAAGTTTCACTTTAAGTTTTACTACAAGTCAAATTTTGCTGTAGGTCAGGTTTTACTGTGAATAAACTTTATACAAAATTTTATGACCAAGTTTTGCCAGATTCAAATCTTACTGTGAACAAAATTTGTGATAGATAAAATTTGTTGTAAATGTACACAGATAAAAATTTTTCTAAAAGGATATAAGAGGTTTAAGCTTAAAGATGTTAATTAAAAGAGTGAGAACAGCTATTAGTAGCAGTCTAAAATGGAAAATTTGTGAATATAATGATAAATTTCCAAATAAAACACATTCTAATATTGCTCAATACTTTAATCAAAAAAATTCAGCTTTAAATCTTGAACGTTCGACCATTTCAAAAATATTAAAAGAAAAAGAACAATGGTTGGCAATTACTGATACAAGCGTAACAGTTTTTCATTATAAAAAAGTTAAATTTCCTTTGTTAGATAAAGCTATGCAACTATGGGTTAAGCAAGTTGTAAGCAATAAAATCTTCTTAACACAAATGATTATTAAAGAAAAAGCGAGTTTTTTTGTCAGGGCATTAGGCATACCAGACAATGCACTAAAATTTTCTAATGGTTGGGTTTATAAATTCAAAAAAAGAAATAATTTACAGAACTATTGATTACATAGAGAATCCAATAGTACACTGTTAGAATTGCTTCCAGAACAAAGAGCTAAGTTACATGAAATAATTGGAAAATATTCCTTAAGTGATGTTTTCAATGCAGATGAAACAGTATTATTTTTTCGCATAGCACCACATCAAACACTCGCATCGCAGCCGCAGTCAGGATGGAAAAAGGTTTATTAATTTGTTTTGTTAAAATACTGTAGTTAGTGATGAAACTTTTGAGTTTTAGTTGAAAATAAAATTCATAAATAATTTTTAATTTTTAATAGTCAATAATTTTTATGTAATAATTAATGTTATAGCTGAATATTGAAATCAGAGACCTCAACATAAAAATATAAACACTACCCAAATTTACTTCTACTTTTATTATTAAACTAATTATAAACTCTAATTTAACTATTAAAAAAAAAAAAAAGCTAAAAAATGCAAATAATTAAAATTTCAAGCTTTAGCCATAACAATTAATAAGTATATATTAATTAGAGATGGGTATCACGCACTTATCAATGCAAAGTGCTTAATTAACACATATTTAACTTGGATAATTATTAACATCCATTAGGATTTATATATCATTAGTCATGCAACAATTAAGGACCTCGCACTGATAAGTACGTGTTGCCTATCTCTAATATTAATAACTAGAAAAATTGTTAATAGCTAATAATTATTAATAATTCAAAAAGTTCTATCACTAAAAATAACAGATTTCTGGATTTATTTATCATTATTTATAATTTTAATCTGTAATTTATCACTTTAGGATCGTGCACATATTATAGTTATGCTGACTGCAAATGCAACTAGAACTGAAAAGTTAAAACCAATAGTAATTGAATCATTCATTGAACCTAGAGCTTTAGTTCACTTAAATTATAATGCTTTACTTGTAATGTATTGTGCAAATTTAAAGGCTTGGATGTGAACTGATATCTTCAGCGAATAGATTTCAAAACTTAATGAAAAGTTTCGTTTAGCAAACTGACAAATTTTATTGATAGTTAATGGTGCAACGAGTCATTATTATCCTAACAATAATAATAGCCAAAATACATTGTATAAAGAATCAATTAGTGAAGAATCAGATAAAGAAAAATCAGATGAGGAATCAGATGAAGAATCAGATGATGATGATTATTATGATGATGATAATGAAGATAAAGAAGTTCATGCAAGCTCGTCTAACACTGTATATAGACAGCATGGCCGTCCAAGACTAAATGCAATTAGTGTTAATAAACAAAAAGAGCAAGATTCTTCTCATGGGCATGGTCATGGATATAATCACAGGCATGGTCATGGGCATGGTCATGGACGTGGTCACAGATGTGGACATGAACAGGCTTCTTAGAATAGCAAGAGTCTCCATAGTACTAGTTGTCCTTATAGAATTCCTGATTCTTCTGATATTTATTTAACAAATATTCGAATTGAGATTTTACCACCCAAAACTACTACTTACCTCCAACCGATGGATGCTAGAATAATTAATAGCTTTAAAGCAAAGTATAAAAAGAAGTATATATAGCATATATTAAATCAGTTTGAAAAGGGCAAAGATTTAAGAAAGTAAGGGGACATTACCTGTTTGCCATTATTGTTGCTCATTTCCTCGAAGGACTATTTACCTGGTATTAAATGTTAGATAAATAGTCTACTAGGGAAATGATCATTAGGGAAATAGATATTTACTGTACCGATTTGATTATATAATAAAACTAAAGTTATCGCATTATGTATCACATGTATATTATAAATGGTATGTATATGCATAATTTAAAAAATTATCTATATTTATTTATTATACCACTGTGCTTAAATATTATTTCATATTGCCCTTCTTATAAAATTAATAGAACCTTATAATAGATGTTCAATTTATATAAATGAGTATATACAGAAACTGAGTCTATTACATTTTTAGTTAGATTTTGAAAAAAATTTAAAGCATATACAGTGCAAGAAATCTAAAAACTATAATTACTTCTTGAGACAAAGTATAAATAGTAAAGTTAAATATCCTCTAAGCTTTGTTGAAATTAATAATTTAAGAATTTTTGGATTGTGCATTATATTCAGATTATGCCAAACAGAAATTTAAAAACCACAATTTTCATGAAGTTAATATATTTCAAATAATATATTAAAATCAAATATTCCTTAAATTATTGATTTCAATATAGTGATTTCTCATTCACCTTATTTATATTGAAATTTATTTTCAATATGCTACTAGTTTATTTATTATTTCTATTGAGGTTTTTAAATTTCCTGCACTGTATGCACTCTTTATTTATAATAAGCAATTTAATTGCATAAATCAAAAAAGTTATACAGTAGTCCACACTCGAATTCAATTCTACTATTAAATGAATTTTTATACACCCATTTACATTGGTTTTGTGAAATTAACACAACAATAATTTCTAATTTTTAATTTCTGTAAAATTAAAATTTTACTGATATATTTTTATTTACACAGGAATAAATTAAATATCAAAGATGCAATATATTATGTTGCAGAATCATAGGATGAAGTCGAAGAAACAACTATTGTGAATTGTTGGAAAAAAACAGGAATTCTCCCAATATTATCAGATACAAAGATTGATGACACTACTTTTGCTATTCAAGACTTGACAGAGTTAGAATAGGATGATGTTGATGAATTAATTATAGACTTAACAACGAATCTGCCAGATCCAACAATCGAGCGCCAGTTAAATGAATTTAATAGCAACAATGATTACCAAATACCTACTGAAGATATTCTTGATAAAGAGCAAATCATTAATATTGTATTAGATAAACAACGAGAGTTTGAAGAGGGTAATACAAGTGATACCGACATTCCACCATCTGAAATTCCTGTTTTAGAAGGCTTGGATTGTCTAAAAAAATTCATTAGTTTTTTTGAGCAACAAGAAAGTCATGATTTCAATGTAGAGGATTTGAAAGTTTTTAGAAAATACTTATCATTAATGAAAAGGAAACATATTGACTCACTAAAACAAAAATCAATTACTAATTTTTTTTATCTGTTTATGATTGATAGCAGGTTTTTTTTTTTTTTTTTTTTTACCTGTTTATAATAGGAGTTTTTTTTTTTTTTGAAAATTTAAATTTAGTTAGCTGTTGTTTAGCAATATTATTCTGTTACAATACTGTAATATAAAAATTTTGAACAATTTGAATTATCGATTGATATCTTATAGTTGAATTAAGTTTAATAAAAGATAAGATTTTAATTATTAGGTTTTTGAGCTTTTTTAATGTTTAATTCTCAGGTTTATGTTTTTCAGTACACTCAAACTTTTCAGAATTTTGGTAATTACATATTTTGCTATAATGGTAACTAATATAAAATTATTATATTAATATCATAAAATGAATCAGTATTTTGAGGTTTTTTGAGTATTTCGTTAGTATTTAATATAGCAGATTAATATTAAGTTATTAATTCAGTAAATGTTCAATATTGTATGAGTTTTATGATAAAATGTAGTTAAAGCAATTTTTTTAGGTCTTTAGTAAGAATTTTAGTAAATATTTTTTATATATATATTCAAATAAATCTTGAGATTATTTACTTAAAATGAATATAAATATAGCAAATATCTTAAGTTTATAATTTTTATTGGTAAAGACCATATGCTAATGACCATATACTGACTAAAATTTGGATCTTTACACTAATTTATCTTGGTCTAAAACTACATTCTAACTTTAAAAATTATTATTATAAATGTTATAAGGTATTTTAATAAATTCGTAACTTATACTATAAACTTCTAGTTATGGGTTAACTTTACGAAATCTATTTTTCTAAATTATTATTTCACCAAAGCTATATTACTAATAAGACATAATTTTAATGTCTTATTTTCTCAAATTATTATTTAATTGATAACAAATTTCTGACAAGTCATTTATTTGAAATTATTATTTTTTTCAAATATTAAAAAGTGATAGCTTTTATTAACTTATATTGACAGAATAAGCTATCAGAAATATGTCTTATCAGAAAATAAGATAAATATTTTGATCCTATTTTTGACAGGGCAATCTGAACTCTATCTAATTATAGTTGTTAGACGAACCCTTTTTTGCTTGATAACAAAAGTTAAAACCTGAGCCCTAAATGACAAAACTTCTGCTGAAAGTCGAAACCTCAAATTCTTCTGACAAAAGTTGAAACCTCAAATCCTTTTGACAAAAGCCAAAACCCAAAACTAACTTGACGAAACTCTATTACTCCTACTGAAAAAAAAACCAGTATATCTCCAATTAATTTTTTATCTGCACAAAGTTGTTTTTTTATTCAAATCAATTTAGCCAATAGACAATGATTATTTTTTAATTAATAAGTTGCTTATTATGCTTCTTATTAAAACTAATCTAAGCATAAATTGTATATAGCCCTTTATGAATATAAAATGATATTTTTTATTTTATTTTATTAATCAGTTTCTTTATCTTTTGTTACCTTTTGCCAGTTTTGACACCTTTTGCCAGTTTTGACACTTTTTGTCAGTTTCGATACTTTTCATCAGTTTTGATAACTTTTGACAGTTTTGATATTTTATTATTTTAGATTTTAATTGATGAAAGTCAAAACTAAGTTTCAACTTTTGCTAGCACGAAACCTCGAGGTTTCATCTAACAACTATATATCCAATCTGAATTAAATCCATATTAGATTATATATAAAACTAACTTTTGAGTACATCTTTAGACAGTGTTAAAAATTCAAAAAGCTTTTATTAGCACAAGTGTAAATTAAATATAAATAGTATATGTGCAAACTTTAAGATCATGTATGTATTTTCATTAAACAAATTTAAAAATATATACAAAAAAAATTTATATACGCTTTATATATAGAGTGCTAACTATTTTAATATTGATATGCACAAGTTTAAATCTATATAAGCTACATCTACAGTCCAATTCAATTTATATCATTGTTCTTATTTAAGTTTATGACTAATCCAAGTAAAAATCTGATCTGAAAGATCAATTCAGATTTCATCAGTAAAATTAGAAACATTTATCATATTGAATAGTACAATTTAATGCTACTTGGAATGCTACTTAATACTATTATTTGATTTTACAAACATGCATATCTGTGAAGTAATAGTGTTGAATAGTAGTTTGAATAGCAGTTAAAATCATACGATTTAATATGGCAAATATTTTTAATTTTACTAGTGTTGTCATATTTAAGATTAAAATATTATAAAAAATCTATTAAATCAGTATCTTATTAGTAAGTTCATACAAAATAATTTTTTTGGTTTTCATAACTTAAAATTTTCAAACAGACTTGACAATCTGGCTTTTTTTTAAAAAAAACCATCCAGTTATTATAATATAAAAAAAGTTTCAAAAGTTGAAAAATTTTGACTTGACTAGGTAATGTAAACCAAAAAAAATTTTGTATTGTCTAAATTAATTAGGTCACACAAAGTTAATTTCTTGGTTTTCATAACATAAAATTTTAAAAGTGACCTGACACCTGGCTTTTTATTTTAAATTATAAAAAATTTCATATGATTTTTTTTTAGAGAAAAATATAAAAACATATAAAATTTTTTAAAATTTTTTTAAAAAAACTGACCCAGAAATTTTATAATAAATTACTGTACATATGAAATTTTTTTTCAAAGATCTATAAATTTTGACCTAGTCGGGTTATGTAAACCAAGAAATTAACTTTGTGTGGCCTTATATTAAAAAAATTTTTTATAAATTAGTTTTGAAATTAGCTTTATTATATTGAAGTTTAAATAATTTTTTAACATATTAAAAGTTTACTATAATAAAAATTTATAAAATTTTAATTACTTTCTAAAATCACATTATATATATTATTTGATATTATGTGATTATATAGAAGTATTTCTATTTAATCACTTCTCTATATAATCACCAAAAAGCATTAGATAAATTGGGTGATTATATAGGAGCACAACTGTATATATTTTTTAATATTTTATTATTTTTTTAATTATTTTATTTTAGTTTTAAAATTATTTTGTTTATTTTCTTGTTTAAATATATTTTTAATTATTTTTTTATGATAAGTTAAATAATATTTTTGCGTGATTCATAAATCAACAAAAAACAGCAAATTAAATACAAATCAGACATCTAATTTTAATCGAATTGCTAAATAATGATTATTTAATTAATAAAACCAAATAATAATTAACAGTTTGTTCTAATTCTAATTTTATATACTTATTTAATTTATACAAAAAAAGATGTATGATTCAACATTTTCCTAAAAGAGAAATTCTATTTTGAAATGACCTCCCTTAAAATTTAGAGTTAGTGCGAGCCAAAATTATGTTGATAAAGACCGAGGCTTTTTAATATAAAAACCCAGCCGACATTAACGGCACGCACTAACCCTAGAATTTAGGAGGGGTCATTTTGACCCGGGTCAAAATAGACTTTCCCTTCCTAAAATCTATTTATTGAATTTGTATAATTCTAATTTTGGTTTATTATATATAATGTATTATATATCAATCTTTATACATATTAAATTATAATGTAGCACTAATATATTAAATACTACGCATACGTAGCGATAGTTTTTAGAACTTTTTAATTTAACATCTTTTTTTATTTTAATATTAAATAGGATTTAAAAAATATATATAATGATTTAAACAACTTATACTTTGTATTCACGTGCTTCACGTTAATTTTTTTAAAATGGGCAATGCAATTTACTTATTGCGTAAAGCTAAATCACGCTATGTGACAATTTACTAATAATATATCGATATACATTACTTACAACGAATAACACACTAAACTGTCGCATAGAGTGATTTGACTTTGATTTGACCTTTATGTAATAAATAAATTACCCTGCCCATCTCTAATCATAACATATCGATATGAGTACTTTAAAATCATTGGTCAATTTTTTTAAATCGCATAAAAAGGGTTGGCAAATTGAAATTGATATACATCTCATACGAACTTTAAATCTTTCAACTTATTGTAAAAGCAAAATTTGAGTTTATAACAAAGGATAAAGTTATGATCAGTTTTGTTCGAAATATTGCGGTTTAAGAGGGATAGGGTTTAAAAAAGCTTGATTGTTATTAACGAATTGAACCATAATAAGACCAAATTAAGAAAAAAAAAGATATATAAAGAAAATTTGAAAGAGTAGATAAGCCCACACAATTAGGACCAAATCGTTAAAATAGCAGAAACAGGAGGAACAGTATTGATGAGACATTTGAAGAAACGATAGTATATAAAAACTTGAGACATACGCCTATCGCTATATGCAAAATTAATATTTAAACATTTTCATAGCGATATTGTTTGAAGAAACTCATTCTGGATGAACACAAAATTCCGATACCTAAATGGAATTTGATATCTAATTGGAAAATGTTAACCGGTAACTATCAAGCAGTAGCAAGCAACCAATCGGCAGTTTGCATTATGGCGCGTTTATTGTGCATGCATGAGTTCGAGACTGGGAGGGTAATTAGTTTTTTAGAAATAGCGTAATATAGACACAAATATATAAGATCAACACAGATTCACATTTTTAAAACTTTAAGTTTATAAAATAATAAGTAGGAAAACCAACTTTGTAAATATTATTTAATAGTACGTAAAATGCAAATTCATAGAAATAATAGAGTTCTCACGATTACAATGCGACAAAGAGGACCAATTATTCGAGTAATAATATTTATCAATAGATCACAGGGCAGTAAGGGTACGTAGCAAAAAAAAGAAAAGATAATGGACATTTGGTAGGTATATTGTTACCAAACCAGTTTCAACTTAATACCTAAAACAAAGTGGTATTACACCAAGTACAAAAATGGCTAGATGCGAAACAAGTAAGAAGAAGATCAATTTACTTAAAGAGGTATGATCAACATCTTACATAATCCTTTTTAGTCATCTACGGTCATTTATAGTCATTGTACAGTCATCTTACAGTCATTGAAGAAATAGATAGCGATAGCATCACAATCGATCGTTACTAACGTAATCTAGTCACAGATATATGGATTGTGCTTCGGTTAGTAAGATTTATCAGATCGAATAGCATACATACATAGGAAAACTATGAAACTATGAGAACGACTTGAAATACGTGACCTATGTGAAATATCAAATGTTTGTGGCATTGATATACGTGAACACGAAGGTGAAACTGAAAGAGTAAATAATAATATACAATAATAATACAGTAATAATAATAATAATAATAATAATCATAATAAAGGATCATACACACGTAAGTAGGTAAAGGATTTCGTAATATAGAACCAGGACTAAATTTGGATGATAGAATATTTAAAAGTTGAAAGTGTAAATATTATTAAGTTAAATGGATTAACTTCCGAGAAGGATTTTCTTAATTCTATGCTTACCTAAGAAATGGACTAAGCAATTAGAAGAAATATTAAGTTTCTTTATAAGGCGACTTTGTTATATCACAGCCTCCTTGAAATAATTAATAATGGTCTTTGTTTATTCAAATCACCGGTCACAAGAATAAATATTCAGTGGTCACAATAAATGACATATGTAATGAATTAATGTTTGATATCAAAATCTAATCTCTTTGATTGGTTATATTCTTTGTTCAGTAATTTAATAGTTCCGTAGATGGTTTTATTCAAGTAGTATCACCGTCCCATTATTGTAACAACAAAAAATTTGGCGGTTTTCATGCAATGCATATAATAAGCGTTGATCTGAAGTGATACGGTTGTTCCCTTCTAATAGAATATATTTCTATTTTTATGTCAAGCTTTGAGAAAAAGACTCATAAAGACATGCTAAATTCCTTTGATTAAATGCTAGAGTGAACCATCAGATTATATTTTAATAAGGAGATCTTTCAGCCTTACCGAAATCTCATCAACTTTTAAAGCTGTGGCGTTTAATCTTTATCATTTAAGGATCCTCTTTGTGATAATGGCAATTAATTAAAAGTATAGGTAATGAATATTTAAGGTCAAGTGGGCTACATATATCGATATTGCTCAAAGTCTGACAATAAATAAATAATACGCCCCTGTTAAATAAAGGTGTGATGAGTATAATGGTTGTATAAAAAAAGATAATTACTAAACACATACAGTCGTGCAGCTTAATTTGTTTAAATTTACCGAAAATGAATTTGTGCTTCCAGAATGTCAGTTCATGTGAATTGCTCTTTTACACAAGTCTAACCTTAAGAAAGTGAGGACATGTGGATTAAGTTGATGTTACAATAAATTTGTAATCTCTATGATGTTTGGAATTAATGAAATTTTGGCGTCTCTAAAAAAATCAATCGATGAACTTTAATTAACATGATGTTCTTTATACGTGACGTTTGTTCGGTTAATCTCTTCATCAAAATGAAGTTGTTGTATTATCACATTTATGTATGACCGATCAAAATTTCGTCATAAGTAGGGATGTATAGGTTGCGCATTCATGCTGCATTTATTTATCATTTTATATGTTGTAGTTTAATTTTTTTTTGGTATTCCTGGAATCCCGAAGTTGCAATTTCCTTTTTTTGAAATATTTGTAACTTTTTCTTTTTTTCTGTTTTGCAATTCCTCGTCTTCATTTGATACATTATTTCTTTATAAATCACAATTCACGTCGTATCACTTTTTTTTTATTGCTGAACTACTACCTACATATAAAAAAAAAAAATTTACACCTTTCAAACACAGCGACTGACTTTCAAAAAGAATTTATGCAATAAGGTTTCGTTCAACCTTCCATCTATATAATTGGGTAATCAATTTTCATAACACAGTATAGGTATATATCTTGTTGTTATCCACCTTTCTTTTCCTCCCCCCTACCCCCATCCTCGACTCCCCTTAAGTCCCCTTTTCCTTTTTTTTATTTTATTTATTTATTTTTTTTTTTATACAATATATATATATAGACAAATTATAAAATTATAAAATACCAAATAAATATAATTACAACCGGCTTTCTCCCGATTACTGTTAACATCTGTTGTAAGTGTTGTTTTTTTTTTTTTTTTTCTTTTCTTTAAAAAATAAGGTATAACCAAAAAAATCCTTTTCCTTAAACAAGTTATTAAAAAAATTTAATTTTCACTTTTTGCCTTGTAAAAAAATTTAATTTTATTTCATCTCCTTAATAACCCCTATTAATTTTTAACCGTTAACCCAGATACCCGTTTAGACCATCATCATAATTTAATCTCAACGCTATACATCTAGCACTGAGATAACGCAAATTGTTTAGGATTGCGTTATGGAGAATTCCACAAATTGATTTCATATAATAGAGATCTTTTTTTGACTTGAATTTTAGGATAAATATTATTCAAGTAACGGTTAAGCAAATTTTTATAATAACCGTAAAAAAAAAATAATAAAAACACATTAAAAAAAAAAATGTCGACGGAAGTTTCGTCAGATGCTGGCTCTCAACTGACGCAATCCTTGTCCACAGATAATTTGCAAAAGCCGGCTGGTTCGTCAAATAATCAAATCAGTAGTGAATATCAACGTTCATATCAATGGAAACTTCCAATTGTTCAAGTAAATAAACCACCAAGAGGTCCTTCTAAATCTGAATATCAAAGAGAATATACCTGGAGAAGTTCATCTTCTACGCCTGTTAATGAATTATTACCTGATTCAAAATCTTCTCCTCAATCTGCCTCTCCATCTACTCCTAAACCTGCTCCTCAATCTGCTCCCCAACCTTCTGTCATTGATAATAAGTCTGTCGATGTTACTCGGTTAGCAGATTTGCCTGTAAAAACTTTGGCAACTGGTGATGGCTTAAATGCTGTTAGAAGAACCCCCGAACCAACAAAAGATATTAATGCTATATCCGTGGAGATAAATGTAAAACAAATTGGTATCTGCGTTGCTGAACCAGATGTACCTGTCTCTAATTCTAAAAAATTCATTTCAAGTGCTGGTACTGATAAGTGGAAAGATGGTCTCAGAAACGGTTCAGTTGAGGTATTTTTCTTTTTTTTTTTTTTGAATATTTACCTTATTATATTATTTTACTTATTTCTTCTCTTAATATATTAAGTCAAATTTTGATCCTATTGAAAAAAAGATTGTGGTTTTGGAAGGTTCTCGTTTATCTAAAAGATCTCGATGTCGTTCAATGTACTCTTTAAGAGATGAATTAAAAACAAAGGAACTTGCTAGTCAACTATCTGACCCTTACGAAACTGAATACAAGCAACAATATGTAGACTGGATGGAATACTATGATCATGAAAGAAAACCCCTTCAAAGAAGGGGTTCTTGGTCGGCTCCACTCGATAATTTTAAATTATTAGATGGTTTGGATCGTAATGATTCAAAATTTTCTGAATCACGTAAACCTCAACCTTCAATTACTGATGCAACTTCTGTAAAGAGTAATCATTCTCGCGGCTTAATGAGACCATCTACTTCAGCTGAATTTCGTAATTATCATAGTGACAATCATGATGTTCTCGGTGATAAATTTAGTAAACTCAATTTAAACGATTATTATTCATCAAGTCAACTTAAAAATACTGAAATGCAAAAATCTAAAAGTAATGAATTCCAAAAAGTTAAGAGTAGTGATATGCAAAGAACTAAAAGTTCCAATAGTTCTCCTTTACGTAATTCTGTATTCAATCAAAATGATCTTATATCTCAACAAAATACTCCTGATCATCGTCGGCGTAATATCGAGTTCCCTGGAAGGCCTCGAAATCGTGATACGCACATGGATGAACGAAGACATGGTTATGAACATTTATATGATAAATGTCGTGATCCAATGAATTCTAATCGCAAAGATGACTATGGTGAACAGCAATACGATAAACCTCATGATAATCGTTATAATAATAATCATTTATCAAATGCCAATTATGATTATTATACAACGGAACGTCAACTTGATAATGGTTACGATATTCGTAATAATGTTTATAGTAAACGAGATCATGATGAATATTATAAGCATGGTAATCGATCCTCTCATATTCCTGACAAAGAACATTATGATCGACATGTTAATCAATCATATAACAATGGGCATAGCAATGGGCATTCACGAAATACTTCATACTCTTCAACAAGTGACCTTGATCCATCACGTTCATATGTTCGTTCCCCTCTTCCTACTGTCAATCCTTCATATTTAGATCATCTACGCCATCGTCCCACTGCAAGTGATAGTAGTTCTGTATCAACTCCAAGTAGTCCTGCAACTCCAAATGGATTTTATGATAATGATAATAGATTAAGAAAAAGTAATGGTCTGGATCCACGGATTTATAAGGAACAGATCTATTCACCTTCTATAACGTCAAAATCAAATTTACCATTAGATGATGATAAAGAACGTTATTATCGTTCAGGTCCTTTAAGTCCTTCTCATAATAAATTTTATCTTGATGATAAAGAACGTTATCGTCAAAGTCCTTCCCGTAATAAATTCTATCTTGAAGATGGGGATTATGACGATGATATTTCACATCATTATGTATCAAATAAACGTTTCCCTCAAATTCCTTTATCATCAATATTAAAAGATAAATCTTTAGTCGCGAAATCGCCCACACCATCAACTCCACGTTCTTATCAATCAACATATTCATCACCTCCCTTTACTAGAGCACCAAGTCCAACTCGCAATTCTTATGCTAAAAAACATAATAATTATCATTATGAGGCTTCTTCTCCTACTTTGTCGCCAACCTATTCATCACGTCCGCCATCACGAGCAACTAGTGTTAGTAGTCATGCCACTTCCATTGAAGATGAATCTGTTGTACTCACCGATATCCTTCGAGACGCGGATTCACTGACTTTAAAGAATTTAACTGATCAATTAAAAATATTTAAACATCGAGAATTTAGCCCTCCTGCTACCACAAAAAATACTTCTCGTAGTACACCTGGTACGAGGAGACAATCTGTTACAACTGCAAAAAATTCCACAAAGACTACAAAAGCTACAAAAAGTAATTCTGTACCTGGTACTCCCAGTTCTGCTCAAAAGAAGAAAAGTAGTAAGACAACTAAATCAATACCCTCAACATCATCTGTGACTTCATCGTATCGTGAGGCATACAGAGATTATTCTTTGAATAAACCAACGGATTTTACTGCGGCAAGAGAAGCTTTAAATCGTGCAAAATTAAAGGTCGAAGAAATGCTGGAACTTGTCAGCAACAATGGTTCTTTATATTAATTATGAACATCAAACAGAAATTATTCTTGATCATTTTTACGTATCAAATCACTTTAAAAAAAGAATAGTTTCTTAAGTTACCCGTGGACCTTTACTGAGAATCTTTGTATCCATAATATCGACTAATTCACGATTACTAAAAGTCAAACTAATCGTATCAAAATCAATTATGATATGTAGATGTAATGTATGGGTTCTTAGTAAACAAAAAATTGCATATATTTTTTCGTTGTTGGGAGATCATTGTTCCCATATTTTATCTGGTATAAAAAATTTTTTTTTTTTAGAAAATTTTGAATATATTTTTTATATACTGTATATTTCTTAAAGATAATTTTTTTTTTTTTAACCCCCTCAAAAGTGAGCATTGATCTCTTTCATTTGGAATCGAATAAGAATCACAGTGATTAGAAAACATATATATCAAGCTTAACATACTAGTTTATGATTTTCATTTATATTTTCTTTTTATAGCATATTGTATTGAAATTTTGCATAATTTTCACACAATTTAATTTTCTAAAATTTTACCTTTCCTTTTGTAATATATAGCAAAAAAAAAAAATTATATAAAAATTTATATATATACCCCTTCTTATTCACCACATTTTATGATTTTAACACCATATTTTTTTTCGTTTCACAAGATTAAATTTTAACCACGCATAATTGTACGTAAATAATATTTTTTTTCAAAAAAAAGAATTTATATATATATCTATATATACTTCACAAATTCATTAAATCCATTAAATCCGCGATCATCTTTTAGTCAGATTTCTTTTTCGATTTTCCAAATATATTTTTTTCTATGTCGATTTATCATACGTATAACGGTCTACATTACTTCTACATAATCATCTTTTAGGCAGTAAAAAGTAATTTCAAATATATATATATATTTTATTCGATACAATGTACTACTACTAAAAATTACACGATAAATAAATTTTTTTTTTCTTGTATAATAAACAAATATCGTACTATGTGAATGTTATAACCTTATTTTTTTTTTTTTGTTCAAATTTTCTGAGTGATAAAACTTCCAAATATAATTTTTAAATTGATGCTGGCCATGTCGAATCTTTGAAAAATCGGGTATGTTTTACCGTATTTTGCGGGCTAAACCATTTTTTTTATTTAGAATTCACACCAGATCTTTATGTACTACGCATATCTCAGGATCTTCTTAACGTAACTAAAGTGCAGTTCTTTTAAAACCTAGATTGTATGCTATAAATGTATGATGTCTATGCATTTCAAATTTTATATAATATAAACTTTTAGCAAATATACCCAAATTTCTCTGGCCAATCAGATTTCAAGATCGGGTGTGACGCAGAAAAATCAAAAGATCGGTTATAACTTAAGATGTTGGTGAAACACCATTCGATAGTGGTGTAATTGGTGAAATTGGTGTAATTGGTGAAATTGGTGTAATTGGTGAAATTGGTGTAATTGGTGAAATTGGTGTAATGGTGAATTAGTGAATTAGTGAAAATGGTAAATTGATGAATTGGTGAAAATGGTGAATTAGTGAAATGGTGAATCGATATAATGTGAAACAACATTTAATTGACTATAAAAACTTCGACGTAAAATAATGGTTCAAACAAAGTGTTCTTACTAGAGACAATAGTGGGATTAAAGATTATTACGAATTTGCTAAGTAGTTTAACTGAATTTGCAATATCGATATGTATTTTATAAGTTTAGATCTTAAAAATATATGGTTTATTTTGGGTTTCTTAGATTTCATGCGCAATGTATATGTTGAGTATATTAGTTAGGGTTTTACGATATATAGTTTAGACTTAAGATGCTTTTTAATTAACAATATGATTACACTATTTGCTAACTTATTTAACTTAGATTTGTATACGTTGTATTGATTTTTTTTTTTTTGCATACAATCCTTCCTCCAGTATCGATTGTCAATATTTGAAACATTTCATAGACTAGTTTCTGAGACCATTAAACAACACTAATTTACTTGTGGTTTGTTTGCTTATAATTGTATGGATACCATCAATTGATTGATTCGCACGCGAACTTTTATAGCAATATGCACTAGCAATATCACCTTTAAACCATTATTTTTAGGTAGTTCCAGATCTGAAGTATAAAATTACGTTTTTCTGATGAGTTGATCTTACAAAACATTTACTGCTGTGAAAAGTATAAATACAGAAATATATAATCAGAAATATATTCAAATACCGTCAAGTATTTGTTTCTGCGCCTTGAGTCAATTCGCACGTACATATATAATTGGTCTTTAATCTGCAATTCATATGATTGTTAAACATTATACAATAGTTTCTGAATTTGTATAATTGATTAGCTTAACAAATTGCATACACCTAATAATTAATGAATTGCCAATAAATAATTGTCGAGACTGATGCTGAAATTTGGGGTCTTGATTTGAAAATATAAGCCCACATATACATTTTAATTATCGTTATCAATTCTAACCCAACCTTAAAAAAACACCTCCCCCAAAAAAATTTTTATCAAAAATAGGTCCAAATTTTAGCATCAGTCAATATCAGCCGTGACAATAACTTTTTAACTTTGAGAAACCGAATCTTATAAAAGCTCACGCGATCATTAATTTTAACATTCGTATTTTCAGCCATCTATTCTTGAATTTCTTGAATTGTGGTATCAAGATTAAATGAATTTTAAATTTTCTTATCGAATAAGTAAAATAGGTTTTAACAAGTTTAAATTTATTATCATTTAATCGTTATGAATGAAGTAATCTAAGAATATATAATTTTTGGTATTGAAATGGAGATAAAATTAGACTAGAAGATAAGTTAGTAGTATGTAATTTGAGACTGTATAAAGTATAAAATACAGTATAAAATCCATATTTGTTTGTATATTTATTAGTTTAAATAATAAAGAAATTTGATAAAAAGAAAGATAGTAGTATAATAAGAAATAAAAACATTGTAAATAGTAGAAATAAGACTAGCAGAAATTAAATCAGATAGAGTATAAATGAGAACAATTTATTATTTTTTAATTTTTTTATTTTAATTTTCTGTTAATATTATCTTTTTAGCTTTATGTGTATATAAGTATTCAAAGTATAACAATAAATTACGCTTTTATCAGTTAGATCAAAGATGTAATATCTTTATAAAAGCAAATTTCTTTACATTTAGTATAATCCTTAAGGTATAATTATCTTGTTTTCATGTTTTAAATATTGCACATACTTTTAATTTTAACTTTCATTATTGGAGTTTTTATAATTGGAATTTTTTTTCTTTATTGTTTTCAAAATTATTTAATTAAATTTTACTAACTGGATTATTTTTATATAAAAATGATATTGATATAAAGAAATTGCATTATCTTTAGACAAAAGATAATATAAAAAAGTCAAATTTATATTATTTGATTTTAAAAAAAATTACAAATAAGTGCCCAATTTTGAAAATAATCACAAATAAAAATTCAAAATAAAAATAATTACAAATAAGAGCCTGTTATTTGAAAATTATTACAAATAAAAGCCAAAATTATTTGCACTTAAAAATCTGTGATTTGATAATTTAAATGTAACTTTAATCTAGTTATTAATTATTAAATATATAAAAAATATAATTATTAATTATTAGATACATAAGAAATATAATGATAATTAATTAGTAATTTGGATATAAATTTAAATACACAATAAAAATTTATTTTAGTTTGTTTAATTCACTAACTTACTATCTGTGCTGTAGATTTATTTTGAAGTTGTTAACAAAAATTAAATTCTTAAATCTGTTTATATATAATAAATATTAGATACATTACAGATTAGCATGACTTTTGCTAATATAGAAAATGTTTGCTCAGCTCTGGATAGTTACTCTGTTAAATTTATATTACTTTATAAGTTTAGAACTAACAAACTGAATAAGCTGCTAGCTGTTTGTTCTATAGATAAAAATAGTTCATATTTTTTACTATTTAGCTAACAAGTACAAAGATAGTTATATATATATCATAAGGCTAATTTTTATAATTTAATTTGTTCAACTTCTATAGAAACATTCAAAGCATATAGATTGTATTTTGTAAAATTTACTGCACTATTAGTTAAAGATATAACAGCACTTCAATCTTGTGATATTATAAATTATTTTATTCTGAAGTAAAAATTAAAGCATTATTTATAGTTGCTTAAAAAAGTAAAGTTATTAATAAAACACATGATGTAAAAGAAGTAAATAAAAGTTATCAATGTATCAGATTATTACTTAACAATTTACTTATAAAAAACTCCAAAAACATTACTTATTTAAAGTTAATATTAAAGACTAATTTATCTGTGCATTTATATATTTATAGTTATAGATTATTTTACAGAATATTATAGACTTGTATTTACCTTTGATGCTTGTCTTTCAAAATCAAATTACAAAGATATTTTTATTAATGCAAATAGTAAAAACAAACTTGTTTCAATAGCATTTGCTGGTTGTTCTGTTAAAAATACAAATAATTAGTTATAGTTTTGTAAAAATTTATATATAGTTATTTTAACAATGAATATAAATAAAACTGTAATTATAAGTGATTATAAAAAGTTTTTTTTTTAGGGGTGTGGCGACCTAGTGAAGTAGTCAGGTTGTCAACCCTCCAAGTAGTAGGTTGGGTGTTCAAATCCCGTCGATGGTGAAAATTTGAATAATCACTTATATAATATTTATATTATAGCAACTGTTACTAATGATTGGGTTAGAATATCTGTAATGATGGTTACACCAGCATGACTGGCAGGTCATGAGGCATTTGTGCAATGTTGGAGTTACACAGAGAAATGCAAACTAACAAAACGGGCAGTACAAACATTAGATAAGTCCTTGTAGTTGTGTAAATCCATTGAAATTGGGTAACAAGAAGTCAATTTAAGAAGACCTGAGTAGAAAGATAGCTAGATCTTTGATGGCCCTATTGTAAAGGCTAGCTTGGCAAAACAGATACCCAGGTCTAGTACCCAGTTCTAGTAGCCAGATGGGCAAGAATCTCTGGGTTGGAGTCTCAGAGGTATCACTAACCAGGTTGCCAGAATGAACTGGAGAAAAAGGATATCAGGCCGATCTGATACATCAATGGACTGGTTGTAGTCCTACATGGGCTATCTGGATTAGGAATTTGGTAAAAGGGCAAAGGAAAAGGCAGAGGTATACTAAAGTACCGGGATTATACTGTGAAGTAGATGCTAGGGTCTAAGTGAATTCTACAAGGGCATAGCAGTTTAATAATTAGCCCTGATCGCAAATGTTGGTTCTGCCATAGCGATATCTAGGTTAGCTGTAAAAATGCATACAGAAGGCTCTAGAGGGTTTACCTCAAGGATAAATTAGTCCTAAGGTTGAGGATAATGATCTGGTACATCTGAGATGACTAGTAATATTAATACAGGTTACAGGTTTAGAGAGTTTAAAGTAGAACATCCAAGCAGGGGTGTTAGGTATAGCAATTGGTAGGGAACCTTTAGGTAGACTTCTTAAATAAGTAATATAGAAAAGTTACATGTGTAGCCAATTGTATGCTCTCCTGTAGTAGTTCATTAAACCACAATATTGATAAGTGATTAATAAAAGTCAAAAGACCAAAGAGGTCACCTTAATATCAAAAAAAAAAAAATAAAAATAAAAAGTTTTTTTTTAATAAAAAAATATAAATTTAATAGTTAATAATTCTATATTAACAATATTTATAATTATTTATATAAAAGATTTTAAATGCAATACAAACAGAACTTTTTAATGTTTTTTATATACATTATATATAGCATATCAAAAAAAATATTAATACAAAATTAGAATAAAACTTTATAGTAAAATATAAGCATATGAAGGACTAGGTTAATGACAACTAGATTCAACATACAAAACAGGCTATAGTATCTTGCACAGCTGTACAAGCTGAACATACAGTGAGCAAATCTACAAAAGAATTTTTTATTTCTTTGAATTTTATTTCATTATCTCATATCAAGGAAGAACTACAAGACTCATCTTACAATACACTTTATGATCCAGACTTATGCTACAACTTGTGGTTAGCATGTTTGAACCTACCTCTACTTTCACATTCTCAAACACTTAGCTTTTTTTCAAAACATATTCATCATTACAACTACTTACAACTAAACAATTTCAATTATAGAAATGTGACAACTTAGTGAAGTGGTCAGGTTGTTAACTCCCAAGTGGCGATCTAGAGTTCACATCTCAGTGTCAACAGAAAATTTAAAAATCCTTTCTGTGTTATAGTTAACTGTCTCTCGCAATTGGTTGAGATAAGACATCTGTTATCTTTATCGCACCAGCATGACTGACAAGTCACATAGTATTTGTATAACATTGTTCTTTGGAACAAGGTCTGTAGTTATATGAAGAAATGCAAACTGGTACCAGATGGTGCAAATCTACAATAAGTTCTTATAGTTATGTAAATCATAAGAACT